GAGAAGAGAGGGGATAGAAAAAAAAAAAGAGAGATATAGAGAGAGAGAGAGATATATACATATATAACACATAGAAATATAATATATATATAATATAGAAAGATAGAGAGATATAGAGATAAAATATATAAATATACGGGGATAATATATTTTATAATATATTTTATATAAAAAAAAAATATATATATATACATATATAACATATAATATATATAATATATAATATATAAAGATATATATATGTATAATATAAAAAAATATATATATATACATAATATAAAAAAAAATATATATATATATATAAGAGATATAAGTATTATAAAATATTATATAGTTTGTGGATTGCATTTTTAGAGCGAGAGCTAATTAATTAATTAATTTATATATTTTCGTCGTATTTGGCGGATCTCAGCCTCCAATTTGCCACGCTGCGAAACGACAACAATAACGATAACTCCCGTAATTTGCATTGCTCCATACGTTTGCGCATTTTCGCTATGCGGATGTGCAACATATCGCGTTCCGAGCGGTCGACGCCGCATTTAGAAAGCTTCTGTTGCACTTTGCCTCCCTCGTGCGTCGGCCACATTAGCGCGCTTCGGCGGCCTATCGTGTGTGTTTGTTGGTTCTCGAGCAGGCGATCATACGGATTTAGAACTTGCTTGGGACTTGGCCAGCACGTGACATGCCTTCAGATTACTAAAATTTGAAGTATTTCGACGTAATTGCGCGCACACGACGTGAAAGTGCAGCAACAGCACACGTTATCTCCGCGTGTAATGCATTTAAGATTTTATTTTATTACCGCTGAGGTAAAAATCACGTCGCCTAAACTAATTTTACTCAAATGCACGTTAAATATGCTAAATGCCTAATATATTTATATTTAGTAAAATTTAGCAAAATATGACAATATATTTTACACGCAATTCATAATTTTATATTAAAGATATATTGAAAGTAATTTAACAATTGATAATAATTGTAAATAATTATAAATAATTAAATAATAATTAAAATAATTAGTAATATATTATTAAAATTATTTAAATTAAATCACACATAATTAACACATTACATATAAATAATAATTAAATAATTATATTTGTTAATATATTTTTTTACTTATTTTATGATCACGAATTGACGAGTCTGTGAACCATCTTATAAATAATCACTCTCAATTCTAATCGTGCCTTAATACATATCTCAAGTTCCTAGCACACTTTCCTGAATGCAACTCACGAAAATATTCTGCGCTCGCACAGTTCCTAAATTGTTTCGTGCAACAAAAGTTACGAAACACTAAAGCCGCATGATGGCCGCTAAGTGATTTTCAGGGTGTCGTTTATACATTAAAGATATCGATAAGGCAACTCTCGACAATTTATACATTTTTCTTCCTCTTTTTATTTTTTTCCTATAATATCTATGTATGCATCGCGTAAATAACAACGTGGATAAGGTCAGCGCAAATTTATTCTCGACGAGTATATATTTAAAGTATCCGTTCATCGAGCACTATACGTATATCGATGCATACATATATGCACCAGCACTGCGTGCATCGTTATTTTTAAATTTCGATTCCGAGATTTCTTCGCGACGCATACACATATATAATATTAAAAAAAAAAAAAAACATGCAATTTTGGATCAATACATACGAAGTAAATAGCAGGAAATTTCACGCTCGCGAACGAAGAGTGGTATATGCGTTATATATATATATGGTATATATATATATATATTCGCGAAAAACCTGCCAAATCCGCGCCTTTGCAACCGACACATACACAAATGCAAACACACATTTACGTAGAAATCCTAAAATGCGAAAATATTGTAGATTTTTTATTTTTATATCCTCAGCGATCTCTCTCGGGAGCAGTCTTTTTTTCACTCGACGCAGCAAGGGTTTGATTACACACGCATCCATATCGGATAACGGGGTACATATACAGAGTGTTTCTAAATAAGTGCGAAAAACTTTTGGAGATTATTTGACGAAAATTAAGGATTTTTTATATAAACACAGTTGAAAAATTTCTGTTCAATTTAACAGATGTCCCAAACGGTCCACACAAATTTTTGTGTTAATTTAACATAATATGGATATGTTCAACGGAGACACAAATATTGTGTTAATATTTTAACACAAAAAATGCAAAACTTCAAATAATTTTAAAATAAATTTTGTGTAAAATTAACATACTTTTAAAGTAAAAATTAACAAAAAATATATTGTAAAATAGAAAATCAACATTTTTTTTGTAAATTTTAACAGATAAATCTTGTCACTAATAAATCAGAACATATTTATTGTGTAACCTTAAAATAGATGCACATCTTTTTTCAGTTGTTTTAATAATTTAACATTTAAGTTCAATTAACAAAACAGTAATATGTTAAATTAACACATGAATGTGTTAAATATTGAACACAAAAATTTTAACGAGGATCGTTTTAACAAGAAAACACAAATTTTTCTACTGTAAACATATACTCCTGTAAACATATCCTTCCCTGAGGAATTACATTTTTTTAAAGGGATAAGTAAAAATTAAGGGAGGTTTCTAATTTTTTCTAAAATTTTGGCCAATTAAAAAAAATTAATTTTGGTGGATATTTTCCGCTAATAAAAAGAATATTTATTAATATTTTTTTAATTTTTCGTACCGTTATAAGAGGCTGAAAACTAACAACCCTTATTCAATTTTTTATTAGAATTCTTTAACAAACCGGAACAGGATCATCTAAAAATATAAGTTAGAAAGCTGGATTTCTTTAGAAACTTTTTTATAAAATCAACATTATTTTCAAAATAAAAAAACAAAAACTTAAATTTTATTTAATACATTTATATTATATAATACATCTATATTATGAATAAAAATTTTTAATTATTCTTACATCTGAACCACTTCGGCTCGTATATTTGGCCTACTTTACATGTTTATTAATTTTAAATTTTATCTCCCTCCTTGGAGGAATGGAATTTTTCAGGAAGGGATGTATAGAAATATGATATGTTTATATGAAAAACTCCCGTTAAAATTTTTGGCAAAGAATGATCTCCTAAAATTGTTCGCATTATTTGGAAACAGCCTGTATACGCGTCTGTATACATATATGTACACGTGCATATTGCGGACGAAAGTGCGTGTTTTGAATTTCTCCCCCTCAAGACGCGAATACCTGCGAGATGTCCGCTTTTTTCCCTTTCATCTGATTTTCAATGGCCGTCGTGCACATATCCGGGGGCTGGTGCTATTATTCCGCGGCCTTGAACACGCGAGGCTCCCGTTCTCGTGCACGTTTACGTTAAGTTACGTTACATAGGTCACACACGCAACGCATACACACGTATACAGAAAGCAAGAGAGAGAGAGAGGGAGAGAATATTAGTTAGACGAACGGGAGCGCGCATTTGCCATTCGTGCAACATTAAAATCTCGTTTCGCTGAATCGTAGCAGCAGGTGGGGCGACGAGCGTCGCTTTACCGCCGGGGAAATTATACCTGCGTTTATATAAAAGTGTTCTTCCCTGAATTTCTGCTCGCTGCGAGCGTTATTGTTTTCCTCAGCTCGTCCGCCAGTCTCTTTCCCATGAGCCTCGCGGGCTCTTCGGGGAGACATTAAAGAGAGCCCCTCCGTTGCTTGTTAGCTCCTTCGTACAGTTTTCCGCTACCCTGATTTTCCGTGCATCATTCTTCGCCTTTTATCGTAAACTGACTTTTCTTTTTTTTTTTTTTTTTTTAACTTTTAAAAAACTTTATTCAACACACTTATTTGCAATGTGCAGAAGAATTAAATTAATAATTATTTTTATAATTAATTATTAACTTTTGAAATTATTTATATATCAATAATTTTTTATATTAATAATTTTTGTTTTATAAAAAAAAACCGAAATATATTATTGAATAATTTTTAAGATAATTGATCACCTCGTTGAGAGAGAAGGACTTAAAAATAAAGATCAATAATAGTGTCGCGAAGACTGATATTTGGAGTAATGTATTATTCATTGTCAGATATAGTACTATGACGTACGTAATTTTTTTTTAACGCTGTTACTTCATCGTTAAATATTACATGCGTCAAAGTATTTGTAGACGCGGTGTATTACGGCAGCTTCCAGCCTTCGGAAATCGAAACCGTGTCGCAGAGGGTGACTAAAAGTTCCGTTAAGAAAGCTTTGCATCTCACGAGCAGCGTCATAACCGTTTACATCCGTTTATTTATGGATGGTAAAACGACTTTTATAAACGAGGGAATCAAGTAGATTTCACGGCGCATAGTTTATTTTCGTATTACGTGGTAGCTGTCTCGTTTTTGCATCAAGAAACGAAGACGAGAACGATGATTGTTCCGTTGTAATTTTCAAACGAGGGATTTCTACATTACGGTCCCACAAAAGCGAAAAGTCAGTCCCGAGAAAATTTTGCCCCGAATTTTCCCGCTCTTTCATGTTTCTCTCCCAACTCCCCAATTATATTCATTCATAATTTTATTTATATTGTTATTTTCAAACGAGGGATTTTTACATTATAGAATCCACAAAAGTAAAATCGATCTCGAGCAAATTCCCTAACAGCACATATCCCGAAGATGTTCAGAGAACATCCTGAAGATGTTCGAATGTTCTCTGGATATTCTCTGGATATCCTTAGGATGTCTTTCGGATATGATGTGCTATTAGAGTTTTGCTCCGAATTTTCCCGCCCTTTCATGTTTCTCTCCCGACTCCCCAATTATATTCAATAGAATTTATGCCCGCAAACCCCGACTGATCTTTAGCCACGCTCCTGTATATACATATATATCTGTTTAAAGCCGTCGAGCACCTGTCAGATGCATAGTGATGCATTATACATGCGTCGACACATACACACACAGGCACAGGTTGCCGAGGAAACTCTTAGCGATCTCACGCCTTTCCCGGATTCCTCATTTGGGTACCAAACTCGAGCGGGAAATTTAGAACGATGACTCACCCTCAGCCTCGCGCAGAAAGACAGATCCGCCGAGAAACAGGAAGACGATCACTGTAGTCGCTTGCATTCCATGACTCTGCAGAAAATGCGCTGTCCCCAGTGCATGATCGAGAGAATGCGGGATCCACCTAAAGGGATCCGTTCGTAGGTATCTAAACTTTCCTAAAGCGCACCACAATCATCAAGAGAGCACCACAGCGTTCACCAAAACAGCCACCAGTAATTTCCACACAATAATCACCAAGTGGGAACTCTCTCACTGGTTCGTGCACTCGTCCTGTTCACCAGCACTTTAATTTGGGTTCGGTGCAATTTTCGAAGGGAACCAATCTGGGGGAAGAAACAGGCAAAAACACACTCCCTCCAGAAATATTCTTCTACCTCGGCTAAAAAGAAGGCTCCTCTAACGAAAAGGAAGAGAAGAACCAAGGGAAGAACAGAGAAGAGGAAGAACACACGTGCGCGCTCGATAAGGGGTCCTTTAAGGGGCGTCACACAGCCTAGTAGATCCAACAGAAATGATGAAATGATGATCTCCTGGTCCAACTGGAAAACTGTCGCGATCGTGATCGATGAACTTGATTGGCGATCAGTGATCAATGAGCCGGGAGTGGGTGAGACTGGTGTTCAACTGGTTCGCGAGGACGACGAGGCTGGCGGGAGCGGACCGACCGAGCCGGAGACGGAATCGCGAGCGACTGGCGAGCGTTCCCCGAGGTGAGGTGGAGACGAATCGTGCGCTTACCCGAAACTAAGCGATTCGCGGCCGTCGTCGGCGCGGCGCGCACCTGTCGTTCCGCGGCTCGCTGCGCATGTCTCTGGCCGAGAGAAGCCGACAACCGACTGCCGAAGAGGAGCCCGTGTGTCCGTTCCTGAAGGGGCGGCCGGCTATAGCGGGCAGGTGGGAGAGGGAGAAGTGAACCGGGGCGACGCGACGGATTCCGCGAGAGGATGAATAGGGACAGGGAGACACCAGCGCGAGAGAGACCAAACGCGCCGGTATGCGTCTGTGTGGATGCCAAATTAAGATTTTCCGCCCGATCCCCGACTCCACTCGAGGGTGCGCGGGATCTCTCCTCACCATCCCACCATTCCACTTTCGCTCTATCTCTCTTCTGTCTCTCTATCTTATCCCCTTCGGCTTTCGAGCGGTTCAAGCCGCAAGACTTTGGGGTAGGTCGCGACTCTCGGATGGGGATTATCAAACTTCAAAATCAGGGAGACTGTGATGCATCCGATGCACCGCGTGATAATGTTGCTTTCATGTATAGGGTGTATCTAAATTAGTGTATCGAAACATTTTATAAGAGGTGATGCGAAAATTAAAGGAAGTTTCTTATATAAACATATATTCTTATGTCTCTTTCCGAGGAGGATGAAAAGTAAACATTAAGTTTTAGTATTTTTCTGAAATTTCAAACGAATTAAAGAAATAAAATTTGATATTTTTTACTAATAAAAAATATATTTATTGATTTACAAGGGGATAAAACTATATAACATGATACGTAAATTGGAGCCTAAATTTGGTTAAAATAAATTATAGCTTTAATGACTGAAACTAATTAAAAAGTGTTGTAGAACTATAGAACTCGTCGAAAACTATAAAATTCATTGGTTTAAATTCGAAAAATAACAGGATGTGTGGACTTGGCTGAAAGTTAGCACATCATTTTTAATTTAAACAATAAAATTTTAATTTTCGACAAGTTTTATAGTTCTATAGCATAGCTTTTTTTAATATTAAACATTTTTTAATATTAATAAAAATCCTTTTTATTAAAGAAAAATATCCACCAAGTTTTATTTTTTCGTCTGAAATTTGAGAAAAAATAAAAATTCAATTTTTACCTTTCTCTTTAGAAAAAAATATAAGATATGTTTATAAGAAACCTAAAATTTATCGCACTTATTTGGATACATTCTGTATAAAATAAGTTTATTTAGAATTATCGAAGTGTTTATACAAAAAATAATAAATATGGAGCGTTTTAAAAATATAATTAACATTAAAAAATATAATTACATAATTGTGACGTATAAGAAAGTGTTTTTGAAAAAAATTCTTTCTTGATAATGAATATTTCAAATTTCAAATACTTTCTAATGGCTTTGGAAAAGATTTCTTATTCAGAAAGTACTTCAGAAAAGATTCGTGTGTTTGAGAAGAAATTTTAAACAAATATATATTAGAATTTAACAATTCATATTAAAATATCTCATTCTCTACTATAATTTTTGAATAATAGTCAATGATATAGTAAAACTATTTTTAGAATTACCAGACTCGCAAAAAAATATTTCAACAGAAGGAGTTAATGAAAAAAATTAGAAACTGTTCTTATAAACTACATTTAAAATTGTCACTAAGAATTTCACTTTTTAGAACATGATTGTAAGATTTATAATTTTTTATTTCGAAATATTCTTTAACCTGTTTATCCAATTTACAGAAATGTATATACAATTTTAAATTTAGTATAAGCTAATAAATATTTGCAAATAAAGAAAGGTAGAACATATTGAAATAATATTTTTTTTATAAAAATTAGAAACATTTGTAATTTATATATTCAGTCTTAAACAATTATTACAAAATTAAAAATCTAAATTTTTCTATTTAATTTGGTCTATATATTCTGTATGCATTTATTTATGAAAATTTCTTCTATTCTTTAAATAAAAATAAACGCGCGAGAAAAATATAAAACTATTAAAAATGTCAAAATATATTGCTGCGGTATATATTAAACAATAAATATATATTATAATATAATATAAAATTTATTGTCATAATTATTAATCGATTATAAATTGTAGATATTGGTTCGCAATTATTCAGAATTCGAAGACTTATTTCTCCCTCTCATTATAGATAATAAAAGAATTATTATTCTACCGAAATATGGAATGACTATAAGATTATTTTTGATCAGACAATTATTTATTCATTTTGAACCACATAAGATATAACAAGAGCCACACTGTCATTAAATAGAAATGTTAATGGATTATTTGGTACAATCAAAAATTTATCTATTTTAAAAATATAGAATCTAACATTTCCTAATCAAACAACCAGACGATTATGTTTATTCTATGCTACAAGAAAAATCAGTGTATCTTTAATGCTGCGAGTACATAATATTCTACATTACTCTTTTCCTTTAAATTGATTATTAGCTAGTTATTTTGCTTTTATTATATTTACGCGCATGCTCTATGTGCTGATATATTAAAAATGAAAGTAGTTATATTAGAAATTAATTGTGTTTTATCTATAAAACATGATATTAAGTCGAGAAAAGCCAAAACTTTGCGACTAAGAGATAGATAGATAGACAACTGGACTTTTGTCTCTTTACTTTCGCGAAACTTAACTGGGATTTAATAATAGGATAATCGATCATCGACTTAATCAGCACCGGGAATGGAAAGCTGAGATAATAAATGTTTGCATAGCTGCGCTTTACTTTATCTTCGTATAATTTGTATCTATAAAGTTAAATAAATCAAGCAGAGAAGAGGGAACACTCTCAGATTAATTCACGAAAAAAAATAACCTAGTTCGAGATTTCCTAAAATAATCTTTCAACATATTATATTATAAGGATACAGTTTGACGTCAGCGGTTAATTTAATTTTTAAAAATTTGGAGTTTTTATATGAAATTATATATGTTATGTAAATTACATTTAAAAAATTCTGCTATTGGTCATAAGTGATATACTGAATTTATATAAAATTAATTTAATTGCATTTTGAGTTATAATAAAATTAAATATGATTTAAAAAATTTATTGTACTTATTTTATATTCTTCTATTAATTTCACATTTAATACAATTTGACAAGAAAAATATTTTAAATATTAATAATACAAAATTTAATTAAACTTTTTTAATAGTCATTTTAAAAGAATTTATTTAAAATATGTATATAATTCTGCATTTGCAACTCTATGTATATAATATGACATTTTATTGTACAATTTTACATATGCATATAAAAATACATATTACATACATATGTGTATTACGATAAAACTCTTTTTTTTTTTTTTTCATATTTTTTAAAATTAAATCAAACATAAATATTGCAATAGGTTTTAACACATACACACACCTAAATATAAAATCAATTAGCAGAGACAAAATATCTAAATATCTCTGCTTGATTATAGTATATATTAGAATTACATAATTTATTATTTTTAAATTCGTTGAAGTTTCCAAGTCTTGTTGTTAGTATCATGTTTATTTAAACAAAAAGGTATAGATTTAATACATTTGCTCTTATGACGTTTATCAAATTATGCGCTATTTATTTTTCTTTGACATTTATATTACAAATAGAACTTTCAAAATTCATATTGTTTCCATAATCAAATTTTTATGTTTAATAATTAAAAATTTTAATAATTAAAAATATAATATATATATATATATATATATATATAATATAATAATATAAATATATATGTAATAAAAAATATAAAATATTTATATAATTAAAAACATAATAATTATCTCTAAATAAATTATCAATAAAATTGTTTCAAAATGTTTAATTAAATAAAGATTTCTAAATAATATAAAAATGAATTACCACAACTTATACGACTATAATAGCAAATCAAATAGCCAAAGATGTAATAAACTAAATTAGATGCCGTCTGTAAATAATTAAATGTATATTAGTTTTGAATAATCGTGTACAGTTTCTCGGTTTTAAGTCGCGTATACATGAAATTGTTTACACTCCTTTCTGAAACTTAAATAATATGTTTGCGTGATTCTGCGAGAGAAGAGGTGTACCACGGTCTTGAATTCAATACGCGCTTTGCGTGACACGCTTTGTGACACTGAAAAATACTGCTAAAGCAAAAGAAAATCGGGCATCAGAGCCACATATAAAAGTGCATCCAGCCGTGGATACTCGCTTTCTGGACTGTTGCGCAAAATAGCGTCTGCGTTCTTACGACACTAACTGCTCCCTGTATTTCAAATGCTTTCACGGCACTGTATAAACTGCTGAGGTACTGTTGCAAGCGTGGAAAGTCCGAAATGAAGATGCTTTTGTGTCGCACTTGATGCAGAACAAAGCGCAAAATCTTTTTTGTTTTTAAATAAAAGAGCTCTAGCTGCTGGTTCACATATGAATTTTTAATAAATATTCTTATTTACAAATTTATTACAGACGACAAATACACGAGAATTTATTTCACATTCATAACTGAAATATCTCACAAAATAAATATATATATATATATATAATAATTAAAAATATAATATATATGTATAATATAAATATAATATATATGATGAAAAATATAAAAAATATATATAATAATTAAAAATATAATAATCACCTCTAAATAAATTATCAATGAATAGTGACAATAAAAAATCGATTAACTTCACCAAGTCGAAGTTTTTTTCTTACTTCTAATCTCGACGTTTAATCGTACATAATTTAAAAAAATTTTAAGCAGATAGATGATTTTGTTTTAAAATTATATAATCTATATTTTTACTACAAAAATTGAGAAACAAAACAGACACTGAATACAATACAATTTTTATAAAAATTTAACGATATTTATAATGATTTTTATAAAAATTAAATAAAATCTATCAAAATTCTTCACAATTCATAAAAGTAAAGAATCAGAGATTAAAAATAAGAACAAAATTTGACTTTAAATATAGACATTTATTTGATTTTTGTAATTATTACAGTATTTAAATGTAAGCGTTTTTAATAGGATATGAGAAAATTTGTAATATTAATAAAGAAATAATTTGAACATAGAAGTTTAATCATCAATAT